TGCAATGATGTTGACTGACAAAGAGGAAAGGCAAGGCATATGATGTGATGATATGTGAATGTTGATGAATGCTAATTGCTGAAAGACTAGTGTTACTTCAACATACATGTAATGTAACCCTTCTCCTTACAGATAGTAACATCCTAACTTAACAGAACTGATTTAAATTAGTTTATTTGGACCTGTTTGGTTAGAAATCAGAACATATATATATAGCAGTCTATGCACAGGGCTTATGGGACTAATAATATTTCAACCTCTCGCACTGTGAAGAAGAGAATATGTTGTCAGCAGCACATAGGATAGAGCAATGAGCACAACTAGTCACTGAGGATCAAAGCAATGATGATGGAGTGGAATACTTGAAAATGATTTGGCTCTGCCTAATTAGAATTTCAATTCGACATGTTAAATCTCGAAAGTTTTAAAACTGTTAACTTTGAGCAGCAGAATCACTGGAACTTTTCTAATCATATATATACACAGTATCCATATGGCACTGTAGTATAAATAATAATGAGTGTGCGAAAGAACAGTAAAAAATCACAACGAATAATGATATGGAGCAGGGTTATGAGAGTGAATTTAATCATCAAAGGACCATAGTAATAAGAGAATACAAATGATGATGATCATGAACCTGAAACGTGCGGTCATCATGAACCAATGAAATGAACCCTCTTTACTGTCACACATATCTTGCCCTTTCATTTCCACCCTTTTTCTTTATTTGATTATATAGTTTTGGTCGGGGTGGGGATGTCCCTGCAATGTAATGTTACTGTCTTGCCTACTTGTCCTGCCCTGGATTATTCTTCATTTTCCTTTTCTCTTTCTTCTTATTTTCAGTTTTTTGTGCTTTTTTTTTTTTTCTTTCGTTCTCTACTTTCAATTAAATGTCATTGTTGTTCTTGCTTGTTTGTATTTATGTCATTGATGTTCTTGCATGTATTGGAGGAGGTTGTCCGAAACTACCTGATCATATTAGAGAATCCCACATTGATTAATGATGAAAACTGGATAGTTATAGAAATATTTGAACCTCAAGTCACTCCCAAATGAATCAGAATGTGAATATAGTTATAAAAGTGGGGAATATATATATAAGGTAAAAATGTTAAATGTGTTTATATAAAATGTGAGTTGTAAGAACATAAAATAATGTGTTGGATATGTCATTTAATTTGAGTTTAGTAGAAACTTACCGATTGATGATTCCTAAGTTAGTAGTACTTCATTATTATATAAAAAGAGAGTTTGAATAAGGATGAATTTGATAGTACGAGCTTAGGAACTTTCACGGTTCGTTTTTTTTTAAAAAAAAAGTATTAAAAACTTATTTTGTAAACAGTGCTTCTTGTTATATAAATTTTATATGATAAGGTAAGTTAAAACTTTAGATTAAGTTTCAAATTTTTGGTATTAAAAAAAAAAAAAAAAAAAAAGTTTCAAATTTTTGGAAGGCTCATGTATTTTGCACAGTGAAATTCTCTTAGTTAAATTTTACATAAAAGTATGATTGCGTGATATGTGTTTGGTTGGACAATAGAAAAGAATAGAAGAGTGTAAGTATTTTCTTTGATTATTACAGAGTCAGTCACTGACTCTCACAGTTGCCTACGTATCAGGCGGTGGGTGTGTCGTAGAAAATAGAGCTTGAAAGCAGAAAAAAGCAGTGGACACCATCCAATGTGACCGAATCTATCACGTGGCTCACCAGTCGAGGCTCTCCTAATCTCTTTCCCCGATAAACATTGAATGAAAAGCACATGTCACAACACCTGAGGCCATTTACCAGTACAGTTACCAGTCCTCTTTTTTGTTTTTTCAATATTCCATTTTTAAATATTCCATTTTCAAAACCTGCTTGCTCTTATACCATTTTCCATTTGGGCTTGCACCCGCGGTAAAACTTTTTCCGCGTTTGGTAGAGGAGAAATTTTTTTTTTTCGAAAATCTCAATTGTTTAAAATATAATTTTTACATTCAGATTATGATAATATTGAAAAATTAAAAATTTTAAAAAATTCAGTTTTTCAAAAATCTAAAAAAATGCCGCAAAAGTTAAAACTCCAACAAAATACATCATTGTAGTTTCCTTTATCTTATCGGACAGAATATTGTGTTTGTTTGTTACTAAATAGACCGTGAGTATTATCATATATAAGTACGAGTTTAGAGATATCTATAAAAAAAAAAAATTATTAATTCAAGGTCAATGTATTAATTATTGCGCATGAGCAATAGACTTATAGACAAATTATGAGTGTGTCTACTCATTATTGGCAGTCAAAGTAGTTAGATTAAAAAGTGTACATGCTTTAATTCTTTATTTATAGAAGAAATTATTTGTAGATTTAGAATCTTAATATGAGTGTGATTTTTTGATCCTTTGTTATGTAGGATATTGTTTGAATAGGTCTTATTCTTTATTGGATAAGTTATTGAGGTTCGATCCGGTCTATAATAATTTTTATTTATTTTTAGGGGTATCTTACTTATCTATCTTCTCTAAAATAACTTATTCCTTATTTTATAGCTAAAAAAGATGCAATATTTTCAACAGTAAGAAAATAAGTTTAATAGGTCTTAACAATTCGTATAGAATAAAACGTAGGATTGCAATTTCTCATGTTGCATAAGAAATTCAAGTTTTACTACACAGAGAAAAAGGGATGGGGCCGACCATAAAAAAATAAAAAATAAAAAATGATTGGTACAAATATCAAAGTGAGAGTCGTAGGAAAAGAGACTTCTCATGCAACATGAGAAATCTTTTTTCTTAAGATGTATTAAGATAAAAATGATGAGAATAGAGGGAAGAAATTTTACAATTTATTTTTATAACTTTTAATGATTAAACGGACAGCATTCAAATAAAATAAAAAGTATTTAACCTTTTGAGTGAGAAAAGAACTTCATTTATTATAATAGAGATTTGTGATATCATTTCAGGTTCTCGACTGGTTCCAAGGTTTATATCTTCTTCTTCTTTTCTTTTTTTCCCCTTTCTCAGGCAAGGTTGCATATCGAAGAATGTTCTGCTTTAACACTATTTCTCAAAGGGAGATTTTACCATGCACAAGTTGGTTAGAAAGAAGGATTTGAATTTAGTCACTGTCAAAGTCCGATGAAAACAACTGTTATTAAGAATATCTTAAGCCGTCCTATTGAACTGCAAAAACCTTCTCGCGTTCATTGAAAACAGTAAACTAGCCTGCTCATGTTGAAGAGTTAAAAAAAAAATTAATAAATAAAATAAGACGTTATAGCATGTCACAATTCAAGGCAAACTCGTTATTATTATTTTATTTTTTTGGTAAAGCAAACTCGTTATTTTATTAAGCGAGTTAATGCTAATAAAAAGAGCTGTTATTAATTATTATTACCCAATTTTCTATTATTCTATTATTACCATTTAATTTTTATAAAGGATGAGAAATTCTCCATATATTCTCGTAAATATAGTTTGAAAAGGTAATTAATAACACATAATCAAAAAAAAATCACATTAATTGTCCTCGGTAATTTCTTTATCTTTCATTTTTATTAAAAAAAAAAAAAGAAATCCTACATGTGTGTCTAGGGGTGTAAATGGGTTAGGACTTAGGACGACCTATAGGGGCCTGTGGCCTAGCCTATATATATTAGGTCAGACTTGACCTATTACAAATAACATAATAAAACATGCCTAGGTTTTTAAAAAAATCTATTTCGAAAATAGGCCATAGGTTTTTTTCAACATGTCGAGAATATAAGCCTACAGACTAACCTATATCATATTATTTATTTCAAATAAAATAAATAAAATTATTATTATAATAATTTTGAATAATAAAGTAATATTATTTTAGTTATTCTTTTAATTGTTGAATGTTTAATAGGGTTAAACAGGCTAACAGTCTTAGACTAAGGTTTTTATTTTTTAAATATAGGTCAGACTTGTAATTTGAGACCTACACAGACTATCAGGTCAGGTTAGTCTATTTAATCCCTATGTGTGCGTGTGTGAAAAATATATTAATTTTCGTTGATAATTAAACTTGTAAAGTAGTTATATAAAATAATTAATACATGGTCTAAGCATATTTAATATTTAAAACAATTTGAAAGTAAAAAAATTTAATAATAATTTACCTTAATCAATTCTTGTATATTACTAAAAAAAATTGAAAATCATATTAATAAAAAAATTTAAAATTGAGTCAGAATCTGAATAGTTTAAATTGCATTACCAATATAAAAATGAAAAAAATTAAGAAAAGCAAAATTAAAATGAACATACCACGTGCGTCATTAATTGTTTCTCAAATTATTTTGTATTTTTTATTGAAATACAAAATACATATCACATGCGTCATTAAGAATATCTTAATGAAAAAATTAAGAAAAGCAAAATTAAAATGAACATATCACATGCGTCTTTAATTTTGTTTCTCAAGTTGTTTCTAAAAAAACACTTACATTGTATTTTTTTTATAATATAAAGAAAAAAATTAAGAAAATCGAAATTAAGGTGAGTATTTATCAATCTATCACACGTAACAAAGGGAAAGTTTACTCCTCTCTGCTGGAATAAAGCTGTTCTACTACTGTTGTATTTAGATTCAGTACATCTTATCAATGAGAGCATTACACATCAGAGAAGAGAAAAAAAATTTGACAAAAAAAATAAATTAACTAACACGTAATATTTTCATTAATGAAATGTACTGAATATTTGATACAACAGTAGTACCAAAGATTTATTCCCACGGCTAATGCCACGAGTATCACTTCCCTTTTTTCTTTTCCACGCATAGCAGCAGTTCGCAAGTTCTTTTCCTTATTTTTATTGAAATGTCAGCAAGCCAACGACCTTTTCTCCCGTAGAGCCATTCGTTAGGGACCCAATGGCTTATTTAGTCATTCCCACTGTTTATTCCACCAAAGCATAATTACATCATACGATCAACATTGCAAATAACAAAACACGTCGCATTAGAATATGAATACGAATTTTATTCCTTTCAAAGGTTAATAATGACAATGAGTCCACCCATATATTACTAGGAAAGGCCAAGGTAACATGCATATAAATGATGCAAAAGTCCTTAAAATATTATAGTATGAAAAATAATATCACTCTTCTATCTGATGCCACATACAACGACGACAAAGTTTCACTCTTTTTATTTATCAGTGAACTGGTATTCCGTAGCTCAGCCAAAGTGTAAAATGAATAGCAATCGAGCTCAAGCCTCTTCTGTATACCCTCCTGTAACATTGAGCATGTACCTGCCATCAACAATTCCCACATAAAATGCACATTAAATTCCATGGCTCAATCCACAGCACAAAATCACTCAAGAAATCCTTAATGCAGAATCATCTTCCATTGTCCATACATAACCAGGTATGTCTAATCTAGGCCCAGAAACAGTCCTGTATATGTAAAGCTTCTCAACAGGACTACTCTCTGGCCTTGAATCTGGAGGTCCTCTTTCATCAATGACTTCAACATTAAGTCTCGGCATTTTCTGACCCAGCAGCTTACAGGCTCCAAAACTCACCGAGCAAGAGGACATCCAAAGGGATCGCATTGTCTCCAGCTTTGCAGCATTGGCCAAAAGGGCTTTGTCACCAAAGGGGCAGTCCCTGATCTCCAGCTTCCTAAGGTTGTCACAACCAGACAGCACGTGATGGAGTCCTAAATCACTATCTCCAGCAAAAGCCACAGAAAGCATCTCAAGCTTCTTCCCATAAGTCCCAATATACTCAAAAACACGGTCAGTAAGAAGCCCGGAAAGGGAAAGGCGCCGAAGATCCTTGCAATGCTCCACAATAGCTCCAAAACCAGCATCCAGCGGTTGAAGGGTAAGATAGTCAGGAGTTCTAGGCTCAATAATACATAGCCGAAAACGAGTCATATTAGGCCTGTTCCGGGCAATTGTATTTAGGGCAATATTAGACATTTGACGACAAAAATATAGAACTGACTGGAGCTTGGGGCAGCCTTCAGACACATAAACAAGGCCTTGCTCAGTCAACGCTACATTTGGTTCTATAACAAATGGGTCAGACGGAAACACCCTCAACTCCCGTAGATCCTTACACGTTGCAGCAAGCACATTAAGGCCAGCATCTTCTATGTAATCCAGCACCTATAGCAATTACCTTGATCAGCATAAGAACTTACAACTTTGGGACAGTGAACAAAGATACAAACATAAACATGAAACACCCAATAAATGGAAAAACATTAAATAAATCAGACATACCCATAACCGCTGCAAACTTTCACATTGACTAACAAGCTTGGTAAGATCGGGGCTTTGAATAGTAGCAAAACTCAAGTTTAGTGATGTCAGCCTGGAACAGATAGGATAGACAGCTGGAAGATAGGATGGGAGCACATCCCAAAAGCCAGACAAGCTCTTCAATTGCTTGCACCCAGAAAATGCTGCTGCCAGGTTAGAGAAGACCTCCGGTCGCATCTCAGTCGTGTAAGCTCCAGTGCCTAACTCAACCAGCTGAGGAGCCCCGCGAAGTAGGTTGGGTAGCCTATCAAGGGGCACAGCACGATTGAGGCATAGGGTCTGCAAGTTGGGACACCTACTAACCAGGCGCTCTAGTGCAGGCAAATTCACCTCATTGCTTAAGCAAGAGATGTTAAGGGAAACCAACGATGTATATGAATCAGGAAAATGGCTTAGCCAATGCCCACTAATTTCCTCCACTTCACTGTCCCGCAAGTCTAACTCCCTCAAATTCCTACAATTCATAAGCAGCAGACAGTAGATTTATCAATGAAATGTTAAGTTTAAGGGGCACTGCACTCCACTTCGGAAACCAGGCGTTCTATAGGTTTTTAACTAAAAATAGAATGCAGTAAATTGAACCACATCGAGCCAAATTTTGACATTATTGTCATTGACAATGACCCAATATTGACATATTTAACATTTCAGATGCACCCTGGCATAATACAAAAGATTGGACAAAAAGGAAATTAATACTTCCGTCTATTTCACCATAGACCTTCCCCAAGAAAAATTCGTCAGAAACCATAATACGATTGTTAAATTACTCTGTTTGTAAATAACACATTTATTTATTTATTTTGAAAATTTCAAAATATATTTTAATTTTTGGATTGTAATTTTTCCCATCAGAACCCCTGATTTGGGTATCATGACTCCGCAAGTACACGTGGATGCAGGCAGAAAGATAAAAAGGCATAATTTTAACACTTCATTTCACTTTGCGGTTTCAAAAAGGAGAATAAATAAGCCAAATGTGAAGATGTAGAGGAACGAAATAAGTAAATAAATAAATAAAACTAAACGAAATGGAAAACCTGCAATTGGCGGCAATGGCAGCAAGTCCATCGGTAGTGAAACCCTCACATGAAGTGAGCACGAGGACCTCGAAGTTCTTAAAGGATTTAGCGATGAGGTCCAAGTTGTCGTCGGTGATGACCATCCTCTTGAGCTTGATCTCTTGGAGCCAGGGATATGCAACGGCCATGGCCTTGATCCAAGGGCAAACGTAACCGCCCCAACCTTCGGGAACCAAATTGAAGTCCGCGAAGTGCGGCTTCCCCTTCAGGCAGATGGATCTCACCTCCGGAAACCGCTTAATCACCTTCGCCGGACTCACGGCGTAGCAGTTTCCGACGAACACCCTCCGCCTGCACCATCTCTCGATCTCGTACCACGACTTGCACACCAGCGAGATCGAGCCACGGTCCTTGTCGCAGCGAATGAATGAGAAGACGTGCTCGAGGACCTCCTCAGGGAACGAGTACGCAACTCTCAGTCTCTGCATGTGGAAGCAACGAGACGGTATCCTTTTCTCGATGAATATCGCACGAACCTTCACAGTCACTGTTTCAAAGTGAATCTCTTAGATCTGAGACGCCATTGATGAGCTTGTAGTTGTAGTTGCCAGATACACGCAGAGAGAGAGAGAGAGATTGAAGGATAGAGAGATAAGGAGTCTGTGTTTGTACCCTATGAGGTTGCAAATTAACTATAGTTAAATAGGTGGTGTGATGTGGGACTGTGCGGGGTTTTTTGTGAAGAGAATGTGATTGGCGATCATGGCGGAGACACGTGGCAATAGGCGAGTTAAAGCCGTTGGATGGGCGGTGTGATATAGTGATCTTATCCATTGAAACTTTGAGTGAAATCGACGAGAAAGAGATGGTTGTTTTTCTCGCGAGTCATGAATGGATGGATGGTGGTGTTTTGATGAGGTGTTATCATGTGTACTGGAATGGGTGTTGAAAGGAATCTCATGATTCCCCTTGCACGGCTTGATCTCAAGAGATAGATGCAAGTGGGGACCACATTTTGATCCAAACATTAAAAATGATGTTTAGAAATATTTATCTTCGTGTACATGTAAAGTATGTTATAGCAGGATTAGCACATTCAAACATAAAAGGTATATGAAAATTATGTGAGATAATTTTTGTATTTATATAGTCAATTAACAAAGTTTGAAAAATAGGAGCTAATATATGCACATGCCAAAAACATTTCTTTCAACTTGAAAGAATTCTCTCCACTTATGTAGTCCATAGATGCTCAAGACCTTGAGATTATAAATGTATTGTAACTCGAATTTCCTTAACATTTGAAAAATGTTAACTTAAGAATGTTTAATATGTAATGTGAAAATAACACTCCTTTTTGAAGGTATTAGGCGAGTGAATGAATGAATGATGTGCAGTGAAGTGAAGTGATGTGATGTGTGGAATGATGACATCATGACCGTCCAATCATAAGTGACTGTTTTCATTCTAAGAGTGAGATATGTGTTTCCACACATAGTTCAATCAAACTCGTTTACTTATGCAGTCGGCCGATCTACCCCACTTGTAGACTTGTAGTAATGACAGCATCTATTCTAAATTTATAATGATCGATTCCATTATTTACCATATGGTACGAGTATGAATGAGCCAGCTATCATACAAGTTTTGGTCTTCAAATCTTTAAATCTATCGCCATCCTCTAATGTTTGCATAATTGTGGGCGTCCTTATCCAACCAAATAGATGCAACATAATCACTCAAGCCTCCGTATTTATATATCTAGTACGAAAAATGTGAGAGCTTACGTCTCTATTTTATTTTTGTAATGGAAAAATATTGAATAACTTTCAATAGTCAAAATTTAGAAATTACTGAATAATTTAAACACATTAACTCATAAACACTACCTTTTTTTTAATACGGTATACAACATAATCCATTTTATTTGTATAACATGAACACCACCTCTTCAACAAATTAGTCATCTGCCCTAGTAGCATTATTTTGTTTTGGTATAGGAGTTTCAATATTCAGATGTCACTTTGGACGCTAATTAATTTTGGTTGAGTTATTTTTTTTCAATCAAAGAAATTCAAATTTAAAATTTAATTTAAGAAAAATTAAACTCTTATCACTCAAATAATTAAGTATTGACTTAATACTATCATATTATCGTAGCAATATTGAAAGTTTTTTTTTTTTGGTATCCTAATTAATTAATATTGAAAGGTCTTAAATTAGCACGGAACCGACAATAAATAATACAAATAGAAAAACAAATTTAGCAAAATAATCGATTAACTTTTTTTAAGGTAATACCATTCCATTAACAATTATGCATCAAGAATATAAATAAGGTTTTTAATAATTAGTGATTTTTTTTATTAATAGGCTTATACCAAGATGAACTAGCCTTTTACATGCAAAAATCAGTTCTTCAAATTGTATGAATTACAATAATAAAATCATTTATCAATCTCTTTGCATATTTTTTTATGTTGTCTTCTTGATGGAATATATGAAACTAATTATAATAGGCAGAGAATGAGTGCATTATTTTATTTTAATATTCAAAAGACATGACGACTTATTTTATTTTTCATTGTGTGTCCTTAATTTACCGAATGTTTTTGTCATTCTTTCGTATCAAAATTAAACACGTAACAAATTAACAATACATGTCATAAAATAATTAAAATAAGCTTTTGAATGGGCTGTGTCAACATTTAATTAACGTATCAAAATTAGATCGCTTTAGGGAATCAACTTTAAAACGATGTATATAGCTATTCAGTTATACTTTATCAAAGAAGAATTCAATCCCAAGTTAGCTCCAAGGAAAATGAAAATTTAAAATACTAATTATCACTACAAAAATTTAAGCATGGGGTCATATTTTTATATTGTGGCTGTCTTTGATCTTCACAAAAGACATTTATGGCATTCACTAGAACCCCCACTTTTGCATGTGTCACAACATATTTTGTGGCCTCTTTGTATGCACCACCACAATTTGTTGGAGTATTTTCTGGAGGTTCCAGGCCCCCACAAATGTTATACTTTCTGGAGATTTAAAACCCCACAAATATTGTATTATTTTCGGGAGTTTACTAACCTCCACAATATCCCCACAAAAATTATCATTTTTTGGAGAGCATTGACTGTTACAATTTATTTATTATTTTGGCAGGTTTAAACCTCCACTAAATAATAATTATCAAAATTTGAAAGGTTTATATATCATAATTTTAGAATTGGGCCCTGTCACATGATCATTTGTTAGCCAATTTATTATTTATTTGTTAGATCTTTTAACATTTCCTTGAAAATAATTACTAAATACTAATTATCCAAAAGCAACACTATAGCACACCAATCATAGTTATATTCATGCTCGCACTTGGTTAATATTTTTTTAAATAAGTAAAAATATAAATACACTCTAACACCCATATACTATAATATGAAGTTAAATTAATGTATAGCGAAACAAAAACTTACATAGTGTTCTTTTATCTAATGAAGGGCATAACAACATTCATAGTAGAATATGTCTCACTATAATTGTACACATTCATAAAAGATATAAATTTGATTCAATGTTGTGTAAACGAGAAAGATTAGGAAATTTACAATTATCCACAACAAGAACACATAAAATAAATCCATTTTAAAACTCTAAAATCCATACGAGTCTCTAATAATATATTTATTACTTTACACAATCTAAAATCATAGCAAAATATTGAATACACATAACCCAATTCAAGGGTGATTACTATCTAATGAAGACCTTCCGCGTGTTGGGATATCTTCTTCACTCTGCTCATCCTATGAAAAACTAATTTATGGTATCCTTTTAGCATGCCAAGAGAAGGAATGGTAAATGAAAATTTTAAAAATATATTAAAAGAAACCCAAATTATACATACCTTTAATTCTAATAATTCAACTACACAAGCACACTCTACTACCTCTGCTCCTACACGTTCTGAAAGACAACCTAAAAAAAGACATGTCCATGCATCAAAAAAAAGTAAATGCCTCGGAGTTTTGGTGTCGAAAAACTTAAGATACTTTGGTGTTGATTTTTAATGACTAAGTATGATTTAAAAGCACTAAATAATATTTTTTTGTTAATCAAATAATATTTTAAATTTAAACTAACTATATCTATAATTATTCATTTTACATATTAATTTTTATTTCTAAGCGTAATCTCAAGTAAGTAAAAACTTTTGGAAATGCATCAGTGTCATTGGAGGATTACGCGGCGCTGTATTTAAAGCACTAAGTTTGTTAAAATACAAAATTTTAAAATTAACAAATAATATATGATTGGAGTAAAAAAAATGTAAAAATAATGTAAAATAATATTTGTAAAATAAATGTATGATCAAATAATATTATAAAAAAATTTAGAGTACATATAAATTGATTTCTAAAAAAATTAGACTGGTGCCAAAAGAATAGAATGTTGTTCACTTTTTTAATGTTGGTAAAACCATCCAGGATGCATCCCATGTTTACGCACAGGACTAAAGTTAGCACCTGCGTGGTAATACAAAATAACTCCATTGACTTTCATCATTGTTCCTCCCCTATGAAAACGACATGGTATATTGGTGTTATGGGGTTTCACTAGCATGGGCATTATAGACTTTATATAAAAGAGATACGAGAACGAACGTCACAAGCATATAGCTGTCTCCAAATAGATAAAATAAAAAATAAAGAATTTTTACGATAATATCCGAAATTATTACATTATATAATGATATCAAGAAATATCTATTGCCACTCAAATTTTTTTATAACTTATTAAATTAATTTCTATATATATTTTTTAAATTTATTTGTTTAATTAACCAATAAGAAGATGAATATTTTAAATAAAAAAAAGTTGAATACGAAAAACGACAATAGGGAAAAAGCTTTCCTTAAAATAATAATAATGAGTTCCGCTCACAAAGGTAAATAACCGTTCCATCAATCTCACTCTTTTTCCTTTTAAGTCAAATAATTTGAATAAAACAATATAGAGCGAGCTGAGTTGTCTTGCACGTATAATTCATTTTTTTTATTCGGAAGATATCGTGATTAAGATTTAAAGATACATTAATCAATTGAGATAATTAATGGGTTTGATATTAAGCTAATGGGTTTAATATTAAGCCCACGCACGGTTCTCCGGGAATCTCTCTATCCCTCGAGTGGAATTGGCTTGGACTTTTTCGTATAACGTTGTTTAAGGTAGCTCCCATTAATTTAAAAAAATGACTCTGAAAAAAATAAATCAAAACATGTATAATAACTGTAAATAAAAGGGGGTCTAATTCAATTACTTGTACGAAATTAATTTAATTAATCTTGGATGTAAGACTTCGATTTGATGAGAGGTATTAAATAATTGCATTGGTTTGCTCATGCTCGTGTTGATTGCTTTCAATATTATTTTTTTAATGGTTTAAATGACTTAGGTTTCTTATTTTATGGTAATCCCTTCCTACACGTGAAGTGACAAAACCAAGGTCGAGGATTGGAAGGAAAATAAATAAATAAGCAAATGAAATAAATGCAAGGGGAAGAGTTGAAGAAATTAAGAATCCATGGGGAATATATCGGAATGCATGGCGGCACAC